TGGAAGGCTTAGGGATCTAACTAGTGGAAAAATTGTACATATAGAGGCTCCATATATTCCACAAACGTGGGACAGGCAGTTAAGACATGATTTTAAACATTACTCACGTCCCTAAGAAGTGGAAAATGTGGACCACATCCAGATTCGGTTTGTTATGGAATGACCGATCTTCACGGGAAGAAAAAACTAACATTCTCCCACTTGGTCCATATATTCCACCTTTCACCATATTAAGAACAAAATACATGAATCATGGCAATAGATTCTCTAAATACGAGTAATTATCTTTTATGTATCACAATGCATTATGTCTCCTAAACACTAGCCCATATTACTTAGTGAATAAATCATACGTTTATTCTAGGTCCAAACATCAATGATATTTCTCAAAATAAATGTGTACACTAGGAAATACAAATATGAGAAACATCACAAATGGAGTTTCATTAAATTAATCATTCGTTCTTATAATGAAAATCACACAAATGAACCAAGTCTCATTCTATCTACATAATCCTTAAATTTTAATGGTGACATGCCTTTTGTTAAAGGATCAACAATCATCAATTCAATACTAACATGTTCAATAACCACTGTTTTTCTATTTAACACGTTCCCTTATGGCTAAATACTTGATGTTGATGTACTTGATTCGACAACCACTTTTGTTGTTCTTAGTCATAAAGATTGCAACTAAATTATCACAATGCCTCCGTTTGGCCCTCATTATTTCAAATTATGCTCTTGTTTGAGCCCCATTCTTTTGGAAAAATACATTTTTCAACAGTATTTTGACATCATTTTAACCACACATTTTTCAATAAAATAATATTACACACAAATTCAAAACTTTTTTTTATTTTTTAACCACATATTTTCCATCAATACATTATTCAAAAATCCATTATTCCCAAAAAAATGGGGCTCAAACAAGGGCTATAATGGGTGGAATAATGTTTTTTTAAAAAAATGGGTGGTTGCAAAATTAGGAGAAATTTTCGATTTATGAGTAATATTATTTTATGGAAGATTGTGTGGTTGAAAATAAGAGAGAGAAATAAAATTTAATTTAATGTAGACCAAACGGCGACAATATATCTTCAATGGCCTAGAAATTGAATCCACCACTTTAAGTCCAGAAATGAAACTCTTCATCCATACATCATGTGAGGTAGCCTCATAACAAGATATGAACTCAGCTTTCAAAGTGAAAATAGCAGTCAAGGTTTGCTTTGTGCTTTTCCAAGATACAGCTCCACCAGCAAACATAAAATATATATCTTGATGTTGATTTTCACAAATCAACACAGCCAACGAAGTCCGAATCAGAGTAGTCAATCACTTCTAGATTATCAGTCTGTCTATACATAAGTATGTAATCTTTTGTTTCTTGAAGATACCTCATCACTTTCTTTGCAGCCTTCCAGTGGTCCACACCTAGATTACTCTGATATCTTCTCAACATTCCAATAACAAATGCAATGTTAGGTCTTGTGCATATTTGGGATTGGATCGCTCCCATTATTCATTAAGAGTAATTTCATCTGGAGTGCTAGTTGGAATGACTTTTGGTTCGTCTTTCCTAATGGCATAATCAATGTCCATTCCAAATGAAGAAGATTTCTCTCATTCCAGACTTTATAATTATCACTCTTTAGTTCGGAAATATCACACTTAACATCAGAGAAATTCATAGGTTGCATAACTGCATAAAAGTTAAACATAAATGCTTATAATTGAGACTAGCAAACATAAATCATGCTTTACCAATGTAAAATCGTGCTTCAAAGATATGAATTTAGTGACGCAAAACTTGCCCGGGGGCTAAAATTCTACTCAATTAGATCAATTACTAGTTATATGATAAAACTATCAAATTATGCCTATTTTCCTAATTCCTGTTGATAAATTAGGAAATATAATTTGATATTCTATCATAATTATTCACACAAATATAGTAAAATTCCTGTGGGATAAATCTATTATATTCAATATGACTAACCATTATTAATGTCATAATGTGATCCTCAAACAATTAACATATAATTAAGGATGACGTGGCCACTCTCTAATTAATTAAATTATATGAATCACTCAACATTTTATTTAATTCACAAAATATGCTCATATAAATTGTACAAATCCATAAGCAATAAGAACAGAAAAAATTAAAATTTTAATTTGATAAATTATTTAAAACAATATTGCATGTATAACAAGGACCAACCCATATGAAAACAATTATAAATCCAATGGTGCCCCCAGGGCATATCTCCCATTGGCAAAGGGGAGGGCGGATAGGGCTCAGCGCGACAGTGTGCAGAGTTCGATTCCCCGCAAGGTGGAATTTGCTTTGTTGCAAGCGAGAGTTACCATATGGGTTAACAACCTTGGTCTATCCATGTGCTCGCCACCCTGGCTCCTAGGAGGCACATCCTGCGATTTACCTCCTCCACGATGGCTCAGGGCAGGGTCGGTGGGAGCCCTTAAGGTTGGGGTTCAACCTTTTTTTTTTTTTTTTTTAATTATAAATCCAATGGCAGCATAAAAACAATGCCCAAAATAGATGCCACCAACCCAATAAGTAAAGGCCCACATTTCTAATAAAACTAGTCTTGTGCCATGCAATGCATGGCTTGAATTTTATAAAAGGAGATATTAGCATATTAAATAAGGAAACAAAGGGAGATTGCAAACAATAAAAAATTGATTCGATTAATTAAACGATTTAATTATATCAATTAGATATTCAACAATAAAAAAAATGATTCGATTAATTAAACGACTTACTTATATTGAATATAGTATTATCAAATACGTCATTTATAAGTAAAATAATCACTTAGACTAAAATAATAATGTTTGAAAAAATACATTTGAATTATAGCAACAAGAAATTGAGCCAACAAATTTTTTATCTTAATTATTTTAACATCTAAAAAAAATTTATATATAAAAAAAATTC